GCCTACAGAGTCCTCACTGCATGCCTGGCAGTAGCCAGATATTCTCGCGGGTTGGTGTAGAGGGACTGGAGCTGTAGCGATCGATTGAGCTCAATAGCATGCCCGCGTGGTGTGTTGTCACACCTGTGGCCACCATCCCAGTGTTGACCATCCCCAGGAGTTGGCGGCTACTTCGGGAGCTCCCTGGAGCAGAGCAAGGAGTGGAGGCACGTTCCTGCAAGCAGTGAGCCCCCAGGTCACCAAGGTCAGGGGAGGACGTTGGGAGTTGGCACGTGACGCACACATGTAAACTCTGGGTGGGTCGACATCCCGCAGCACGAGGCCCCGTACCAGGCAGAGGAGAAACCCAGGACCTAGAGACTGAGGTTCTCCTGCAGGGACGTCTAGGGGCCGCAGAAGTGAGCCCAGAAGCCCACCTTCTGGGATCCCATCCTTCCTCCTGGTGACCGAGGCCTGACCAGTGGGCTTCACAGTGCTGTGGGATGTTTGCTCATTTTGCTTATCATGAGGCAGGGACCAGGACATTTTAGAGGAGACTTTTTTTTTGTCTCCTGTCTGTGAAATGAGGGCCATGAGTTAATTGGCTGGGTCCTAAGATTGCTGCCCTTGGGGAGGGACAGAAGGTACAAAGAGGTGACCCCTGCCCTCAATTTGTCTGCAAAGTGCCCTGTTCAGGTTCCGGGAGGATAAAATTAGCTTCCCATGTTCTCTGCAGAAAGCCAGGGCGCGAGGCCATGGGGACATCCTGATGCTGCTGGCGGCTCTGGGGGACCGGGGCTCTGGTTTCAGCCCCCGCCAGTTGGGCTGTGGAGGCCCCTGCTCTGCACTGTGGGCTGCCCTGACACACCAAGCACGTCCAGGGTGAAGGGGACTGCGGGCTCCTTGCTGAACGGCTGAGGGAGCACACCCTGGGGCTGGAGCCGTAGCACAGTGGGGAGGGCATTTACCTTGCATGCGGCTGACCTGGGTTCGATTCCCAGCATCCCATAGGGTTCCCCGAGCACCACCAGGAGTGACTCCTGAGTGCAGAGCCAGGAGGAACCCCTGTGCATTGGCGGGTGAGACCCAAAAAGAAAAAAAAAAAGAAAAAAAAAGATATTTGGGGCTGGAGCGACGGAGCAATAGCACAGCAGGTAGGGCGTTTGCCTTGGACGTGGCTGACCCAGGTTCGATTACCAGGATCCCATAGGGTCCCCTGAGCACCGCCAGGAGTGATTCCTTAGTGCAGAGCCAGGAGGAACCCCTGAGCATCGCCGGGTGTGACCCAAAAAAACAACAAAACAAAAAAGAAGAAAGTGAGCACACCCCTTCTAGGGTGAGGGTTAGTTAGGGAGGTCAGTGCGGGAGAGAGTGGGGACTCACTGGTGGGAGGAGGCGGGAGAGAGTCCCTGAGCGGGATTCTCGCCCCTGTCAGGAGCAGCTCTGTACGTACATGGGGGCTGAGGAGAGGGTCCGGGTGGGTTCCTGAGATCATCAGCTAAAGGCCCCCTCTGCTAATTCTCCACATGACCCTGGCAAGTCACCTCTCTGGGCCTCTATTTTCCCATCCGTAAAATAAGAATCATTCCACTTACTTTCCAGGGCTGTGGTGAGAATTATTTAATGTCAAGTCATGCTTGTTGAACCTTCAGGAGGCTTCATTGGCCATGCACTAGTCACCTACTCTCCTATTCATCCATCCATCCCCTCCACATCCATCTGCCAGTGACCCACGCACCCACCCAGCCAACCCAGCCACCTATCCACCTCTCCATCCAGCTATCATCCATCTATCCGTTCGTCATCTATCCATCCATCCATCCATCCATCCATCCAATCATCCGTCCGTCCATCCATCCATCCATCCATCCATCCATCCATCCAATCATCCATCCATCCATCCATCCATCTATCCATCCATCCGTCCATCCATCTACCCATCCCTATCCAACTACCCACCTACCTTCCTCCCATTCACCAATCCATCCATCCCTCTATCCATCTGTAAGTCCATCCGTCAACCCATCCACTCAGCTTTCTTTTATCATACCTGCCATGGGCTATGTCATTTCAGAAACTGGTGAGCAAAACAGACATGGTTCCCTGCCTTTCTAAGAGCTGGCATTCTGGTTGGGGGTGGGGGATGGGAGTGGGGAGAGGGGACAGCTACAGAAAAAATAAGCAAATGCATGAGTAGATTGTTTCAGAGAGTTCTGAGGATCAAAAAGTAAATAAAAATTGGTTGGTGTGACAGAGTCACGGGGCGGGAGCAGCATTCGAACTGGGAGCATATGTGACTCTCTGCCTAGGTCAGAGTAGGTCACAAACCTTCAGAGCAGATCACGTCCACTGTATGATTGTGATCAAGCCATGGGAGTCTTGGGCCTCAGTTTCCCCATCTATAAAGCACAGTGAATGGCCATCTTTTGTGGTGTGTGGATGGCAGGATTTAACGAGGTGTGTGCAAATGAGATGCATGCAGATGTATGCAGATGAGGTACATGCAGATGAGATGTGTTTGCATCCACAGAGGCAGTTGGTGAACTTAATGACAAAACCACAAAGTCAACACGAGTCCTCAGAGGACTGAGGCTAAGTGATATCTCCAAAGACCAGGTGCCCCAGTGGGGTGCTTGTAAGGTCAACGGGTTCATGACTGAGGAGGGGAATGCTGGACCCCTGGCCTTGGGGTTCAGAAACCCTCTACCACTCACTCTATACTCAGCCTCCACTCTGGGGGTTTGAGACCCCCTGGTGGCTGTCCCCCACATGGGCTGCATTTTCAGGTCTCCATTTCCTGCTCGCTGTCCTGGGGAGCCAGTCTGGGGGTGCAGAGGGCAGTGTCTGCACCCCAGGTCATGCCCAGGAGGGGACAGAGCCAGGCTCTTCCCGTGGGGACGGCTGTGCTAACCTGGCTGCGCCCACTTCTCTTTTTGGACACAGTTCTCACTTGGAGTTTCCTCTCCCTTTGCCTCGGCTTCCCCACCAAGAACCTGCCCCACAGCCTAGGACAGTGTGGGGATGGGGGAGGGAGAACTCATGCTATTCCTTGCAGCCTTTTATTTTTTGCTTTTGGCGTCACACCCGGTGATGCACAGGGGTTACTCCTGGCTCATACACTCAGGAATTTCTCCTGACAGTGCTCAGAGGACCATATGGGATGCTGGGAATCGAACCTGGGTCGGCCGCCTGCAAGCCAAATGCCCTACCCACTGTGCTCCAGTCCACACTTGCAGCCTTTCGGAAGGCCTCACATGTTGGTTTTCTTTGTTTCTCATGAGATTCTGTGTCCCCTTGGGCCCTGAGGCCGTGTGTGTGTGTGTGTGTGTGCGTGCGCGTGTGTGTGTGTGTGTGTGTGTGTGTGGCCCTGAGCGCAATCCCCAGCTCCACAAAAGAAGAAGTGGCGGTTCCCTCCAGCCCACAGGAGAAGCAAGCTGGATGCAGATGGCCTGAGCTGCTGACCTGCCCAGCTGTAGCAGACCATGTGGCCCGAGGCTACCAGTGTCCACCCGTGTCCTGCTCCACCTCTGATTCCATAACGAGACTCCTCACCTGTTTTATCTTTGAACAAATACCCCAGATGGCCTAGGTCTCAGGAAGGACCTGGGACTCTGTCTTTTTGGGGGATTTGGGGGGCACACCTAGCAGTGCTCGGGGGTAACTCCTGGCTCTGCACTCAGAGATCACTCTGAGTGGGGGCTTAGGGGACCATAGCAGGTGCCAGGGAATTGAACCCCGGCTGTCCTGTGGCTCCGACCCAGAACTCTGCCTTGTTAATCCTGTTGGTGGTCCTGTTATGCAGGTGGAGGTAAGAAGGGCTCAGGGCTGGGGCCAGAGAGAACCTGACAGACAGAGACAGACAGAGACCAGGGTGTAGCCCCTAGCAACGCATGGCCCCTGAGCACCGCCAGGAGAAACTCTCAAGTACCTTTGGATGTGACCCAAAATAAGGGGCTAGAGGGTCCAGAGAGAGTAAAATAAGTAAGGCACTTTCCTTGCATGCAGCCATCCTGGGATCAGCCCCCAGAGTTCCCTGAGGCCCACTAAGAATGATTCCTTAACACAGAGCCAGGAGTAAGCCCTGAGCGCCACCAGATCTTCCGGCCCCTCAAAACCAAAACTGCAAACTAAGGGCCTGGGGTTAGTACAGTAGGTGCCTGGCGGGGACTTGGTCCCCAGCTGCACACGGTCCCCTGCACACTGCCAGCTACAGCCCTGGAGACCCCTCCCCCAACCTCCCAGCACCACCAGCGAGCGAGGCCCAGGGATCCCCCACACCGCAGGGCCTGAACCTCGCAGCATCCCCGGTTACATGGAACTGCTAAGGATCATCAGAGAGGGCTGGAGTGATAGCACAGCGGGTAGGGCGTTTGCCTTGCACTCGACTGACCCGGGTTCGATTCCCAGGATCCCATATGGTCTCCTGAGCACCACTAGGGGTAATGCCTGAGTGCAGAACCAGGAGTAACCCTTGTGCATTGCCAGGTGTGATCCAAAAAGCCAATTAAAAAAAAAGGCTGCTCTAAGGATCATCAGAGAAACACCCAGGGTCCCCTGAGCATGGCTGGGGAGCCTCAAAAAAAAAAAAAAAGAAAAGAAGGAAAGAAAAAGAACGAAAGAGTTGCAGACTCAGCATTGAACAGAGCCGGGTCCATGTCCTGGCCTTTGCTCCTGCGTGGGAAGGGAACAGCCCCCTGAACATTCTAGGAGCCGACGAAGGCCTGAAGGGCTTGGAAGAGCCACAGATGAGGGGTCAGCATTCAGAAAATGATCGCCCCTAAGCAGAGTTATTCAGTCATAGTGGGGGTTACAAGGGCACGGGGCAAGTGTGGCCATCTCGCCCTTTCCGCCCTCCCGACATTCCGCGTTCATGCCCAGCTCAGGATTCCATCCTCCCCGGCCATCCAGGGCAGATGTGAGAGCCGAGAGGCATTGGGGGGCAGGCGGTGGGGTGGGCCCCCGGCGTTCTCCTCTGTTTGTCCACCTCTGACTTCACCTCTCTTTGTTCTTTGCTTTGGCAGAATTCTCCACTCTAGTGGCCGAAAGCTAAGAAGCACTGCCCGTCCCCAGCCTCCCGCCTCGGCCCCCCTCCCCCAGCGGCTGATCTCGGCCCCTTCTGAATTTCTGTTCCATTTGTTTATGTTATTTTTTACACCCCCTCCCTCCCTGCAGCCCCAGAATGACAGCCTTCTTCTGGAACACGGTGAACGAACAATAAAGTCTGTTCCAACCCAGGTCTGCTCATGGAGAGAGGCTGGCCTCCAAGAGAAGGGGTGTGCCGGCCTTCCAGCAGGGGTGGGGCAGGATTCAGGAGAGACTGGAGGGGAGGGAGATGGATGGAGTCCCCCCACTGCGCTCCTGAAGAGGGCGGGGTTCTGCACAGGCTGCCCGCTAATCCTTGGACCGACCCCATATGGTCAGTGAGGAGACCCCCATTCTACAGATGTTGAAACTAAGTCTTGAAAAGGGAAGTGTCCTAAGACCTGAAAGCTAAGAGTGGAGGGTGGGTGGGTGGATAGATGGATGGATGGGTGGATGGGTGGATGGATGGATGGATGGATGGATGGATGGATGGATGGATGGATTGGTGGATGGATGGGTGGATGGATGGGTGGATGGATAGATGGATGGATGGGTGGGTGGCTAGATGGATGGATGGATGGATGGGTGGATGGGTGGATGAGTGGATGGATGGATGGATGAGTGGGTGGGTGGATGGATGGGTGAGTGAGTGGGTGGATGAATGTGTCAGTGGACGGACGGACGGACGGACGGATGGATGGATGGATGGGTGGATGGATAGATGGATGGATGGGTGGATGGATGGATGAGTGGATGAATGGGTGGATGGATAGATGGATGGATGGGTGGGTGGGTGGATAGATGGATGGATGGGTGGATGGGTGGATGAGTGGATGGATGGATGAGTGGGTGGGTGGATGGATGGGTGAGTGAGTGGGTGGATGAATGTGTCAGTGGACGGATGGGTGGATGGGTGGATGGATGGATGGATGGATGGATGGATGGGTGGATGGATGGGTTGGAGGATGAGTGGGTGGATATGTGGGTGGGTGTGTGGATGGGTGGGGGGGTGAATGGATGTATGGATAGCTGCTTCAGGAGCAAAACTTCTGCTCTTCTTAGGTTACTTGGTCCTGGTAGGGGGGGAGGCAAGAGACATGAACCTAAATTTGAAGAAAAAATTAATGATACATAAAATATTCTAAGCCAATCACATGCCAAAAAATGATAAGAGATACCTATAGCAGGGCCGGAACCATAGTACAGTGGGTACGACATTGGTCTTGCATGTGGCTGAGCCTGGGTTCGATCCCCAGCATCCCATCTGGTTCCCCAGGAGTGCAGGCGTAATTCCTGAGTGCAGACCCAGAAGTAACCCCTGAGCATCACCGGATGTGGCCCCCCAAATAAAACTAAAAGACAGAAGGAAATACATCTAGCAATTTGGGTCAGCTGTGAATGATTCTTCTGAGCCAATCATATAAAAATAATTAAATGAGCGATAGCACAGCAGTAGGGCTTTTACCTTGCACGCAGCCAACTTGGCCGACCTGAGTTCGATTCCTCCACCCCTCTCGGAGAGCCCGGCAAGCTTCCGAAAGTATCTCTCCCGCACGACAAAGCCTGGCAAGCTCCCCGTGACATATTCGATATGCCAAGCACAGTAACAACAAGTCTCACAACGGAGATGTTACTGAGAGCAAATCGATGAACAATGGGAAGACAGTGCTACAATGCTACAAAAATATTTTAGCCTGGTCCAGGAAGGGAATAGTATGGTCAGTCCTGGTGCTTGGTGGTGGTTGGTGGGGGGTGGGTGGGTGAAGGCATAGAGCGTGTGTCTTGCTGGACCAGATCGATAGGAGAGTGCTAGGAACTGGGGGTGTGGGTGGGGTGTGGCATGGGGGGGGGCACAGCTGCTTATCTTCCAGGGAGTATCTCGGTCTGCCCGGCCCCTGAAACGGACACCGAAGCTGCTCAGCATCTCTCCAGGGGGCTTTCGCCAGCCCACTTCAAAAGTGGGCGTCCCCGAGAGCGCAGTAGGGGAGCATGGCATTGGCGGGACCCGTGGGAGGTCTTGGGCAAAGAACTTTCTGGAAGCACCAGAAGCAAGAGACAGTGGAGGCGCCTGGTCACACACTGCTCGGTGTGCACCAACTTCCTCTCCCTTCCCCCCCCCCCCCATTCCATCCAAGCCTCAGCAGTGGAGACCAGGGCTCCTTGTCCACAGATTGGGAAACTGAGGCAGAGAACCACTCAAGGGCTGTGTTGGGGGAGCAGTCGCTGCTTATGCCAGGGTACCCCCACGCCTCTCACCCGAGGGCCCTGAGACTCATGCTCCAGGCGGTGGGTGGCCAGGTCCTGGGCAGGGCTGGCCAGCTTGCCGAGAGGACCGGCCACGCCACCATGCAGCCATGCGCAGTGTGAGATCAGCTAAAAGTGCTCACTCCTCGGATGCCTTCCTCCTCCTCCCCTCTCACCACCCACCTCCCCTCCCCCAGGGATATGCCCAGGATCCCGCTGACCAGAAACTCAACTTCACTCAGAAGCTGCCTCTGACCAGCTCCGACCAAGAGGCTGTGGGTTTGGTGGGGCTGAGGGGGTCACTCCAGTTCCTCTTGCCTGCAGTCGCCTCCTCCTCTCCGGAAGTTCTCTGCAGGGCAGCACCCCCTCGTGGAACTGGAGCTAGGGCCATAAAAGAGAGAGGTCCAAGGGCCAGGCAACTGGACAGGACCAGCAGGGGAACTGTCCATCGCTGCGGGGGGTAGGGGGATTGGGGAGAGGAAGGGGCTGAGTGTTTTCTCTCTGTGTCACCAGCACAGGATACATGCTGTCACCCAGCGGTGTCCCAGGTCCTGGCCACTTGGCCCCTCTCCCCGTCCTGTGAGTTCAAAACACGGAGGTTGAGTGACACGTGTGTTCGGTGGCGCTTCCTCAGCCTCCCCAGTGAAGGAACAAAGAGACGCGGACCACGGGCTGATGGTCAAAATGGCCTGTCTGACGCAGAGCTGCTGGCTTACTGATAGCACACCTGAGAGGTTCCAGGGACAGGCCTGCACGTAGGTGTGGCTTATCGTTCACAGAGGGAGAGCATTTCGGCAGAGGCATTTCTCTGGGAAGGATTAACTCAAGGGGATGCTCTGTCTCCCAGGACATTATTGTTTTTCTCTATCCCTTTAGTTATACATATTAAACACTTAAGTTTACTTTTTTTTTTCTTTTTGAGTCACACCGGGTGATGCTCAGGGGTTACTCCTGGATCATGCACTCAGGAATGACTCCTGATGGTGCTCAGGGAACCATATGGGATGCTGGGAATCGAACCCGGGTCAGACACGTGCAAGGCAAAAGCCCTACCCGCTGTGCTGTCGCTCCAGTCCCAGTTTACTTCTTATTGATGCTCGCAGTTATTTGGATAAACAAGGTAAGAGATACAGAGTCCAAACTTAGTTCTCTGGGCTCCTGGGACAAGCAAGGCTATTACCATAAATCCTAGACTAAGTCCTCAGGCCAGTTCAGCTTGTCCTGTCTCTTAAGTCATAACGGCTTGCACTAAGACCATGCTTTTATGCTTTCTTAGACTGTCCCATTTTTGTTGCTGGGGTCACTTTGCCACTCACCCCGGGTCCATCCCAAGTTCCACGGCAGGACCTCCCTTTGTGGGGTGTGAGGAACCATGGCAACCAAAGCCTGAGTCAAGTAATTATGACGGATGCCCAGGAGTAGATATATTTCTGAGTCAATCAAGGCCCAAATATTAGGAGCCCAGCATCGATGGTCTTTCTGTGTTTAAGCAAGGAATGTTGCTCTGTAGTGAAATATGAAAAGGTTTTAGGGGCAATAGAAAAGCAAGTAATTCACTACAAATACAAAGTCCAGAGTTACCAGAAAGTTTGACTGAAGAGTAACCAACCCTGAGTTGGGGAACTGTGACAATGAGAGGTAAAACACAAGGGAAAGGTTACAGATAAACTCGGGGGGTTAGGGTGCTCGTAAGAGCACTGTGAGCTTCTTTGGGGAGAGGAAAAGGGGCAATTCACTGTTGAAGCTAAAACTCTTAGGGTTAATCACTTAATCACTTAATCACTTAACTTCCTGTTAGTCGATTTGCTCGAGCGGGCGCCAGTAACGTCTCCATTTGTCCCTGTCGCGTGCTAGTGTAGCCCAATGGCATCTGTTCGCTCCGGGAACATGAAGGGCCTCAAACCGATCGTTCATGATCTTGACGAAGAAGTCTGACCATCTGGTAGGTGGGCGGCCACGCGGTCTTTTGACATCCCATGGAATCCAGTCGGTAACAGCTCTAGTCCAGCGGTCGTCTTTAAATCTCATTACGTGACCAGCCCATCTAATTTTCGACACCTTGGCAAATGAGACAGCGTCCCTGATCCTTGATCGTCGACGGATGTCAGAACTCCGGATTCGTTCTCTCATTTGAGTGAAACGTGATATTCCAAGCATAAAATCCTAAAATCTCTTAGGGTTAATATTCGTTTTTTTTTCCTTTTTGGGTCACACCCAGTGATACGCAGGGGTGACTCCTGGCTCTGCACTCAGAAATTACTCCTAGCAGTGCTCGGGGGACCATGTGGGATGCCGGGGATTGAACCTGGATCGGCCGTGTGTGAGGCAAACGCCCTCCCCGCTGTACTATCACTCCAGCCCCAGAGTTAATAGTCAACCCCCTCCAATGGGCTCCTCGGTAACCTCCAGGGAACCAGCAGAGGGCGTTGTATTGGGCAGAGCACTGGGGAAGAGTATGTGGAAGGTGTGTTTGCAGGCAGACCCCAGCCGGCCAGCCAGCGCCGCCTCCAAGACTTGGCTCAGCTCAGCTCCTGCAGTTTTTGCAAAAGTCAAACCTTGGATTGATGGGGAGAGGTCGGACCCAATCATCACAAAAGCGTCTCCGTGCAGCTCTGCCAGAGGGGAGGTCGCGACTGCTTGACCCTCCAGCCTTTTTTAAATTTTTTTTTTCAGTTTCGGAAAGATTGTTCAAGAATGGCAGGAACAGAGGAGGTGACGGCTAATTCTCTGCCACCACGAACTGCATTAACGGGCATTTTATTTCCATCCAGACAAAATTGCCTTCCTGTCTTGGGTTTCTTGTAATGAGAGCCTCCTCTCGCTCCCGGCAGAGAGGAGAAGTGGATTGAAATTCTTCATTCATCCCCTCCCGTGTGCTTTAAGGCAGTGTGGTCTGGAGGAAGGAGAA